ATTAAATTTTTAAATTACAATCAATAAACTATATAACTTATTCAATCATTTTATAAATAAATATTTTTTTTATTTATTTAAATTTATTATAAAATATTATAATATTTTAATTTTTCAATTTCTAATATATGATTCTATTATATGATAATAATATAAAAATAATATAAAATATATGATAATAATATAATAATAATAGGTAAAATACAATCTCTATAATATGATAATATGATATTTTTAGACTGGTAGAAGTCGTGGTTATGGATATGTGGAATTTATGTATCCTGAAGTTGCTAAAATAGCTGCAGAAACAATGAATAATTATCTTATGTGTGGAAGATTATTAAAAGGTATCATAAAAGTTATGCAACATTATTAAATAAATTTTTCAATTAAACTAAATTAATGTAATATAATATTTTTATTTAGCTACATATGTTCCACCTGAAAAACAACATAGTGGTTTTTTTGTTGGTAGATCATGGACAAAAGAAATTTATCCTAAAATAATAAATAGAAATAAAATTACTAAGATAAGAAATGGAAATATTGACAAAAAAAAGCATATAAGATTCATACAAAGTACAAAAGATAAATTATCTACTTTAGAAAATAAATTAAAAGAAAAAGGTTTTGATATGAAATTTATACCAATAGATGATTCTAAATAATATTAAGAAATTTTTGTTAACATTAATTTTTTATTAAAAGCAAAAATAATTACATGTTTATTCATATTTATATATTATAAATAGCAAATCATTTTAAAATAATGATTTTGCGATATAAATAATTTAACTTTACTTTAAACTTTTTATTTGAAATAATATATTTAATTGATTGATTTATTAAAAAATTTATAATTCATTTAAAATATCAAATCTGATTTTCATATATTTTCTAATTATAAAAAAAAGCATTAAATTGTAAAATTATATTTTCTTCATTTAATTTTTATTTAAAATTTTTTGCAATGTAATTAATAATTTCAAAAATATTTCAACTTCTAATCCCAGGTAACTTATACAATAAAGTAGATTATATAATAGATATAATTAAGAATTGTAAAGATTTGTTATTTGATTACACGATTTAATGTAATTTTATATTTACAATTAAATTTTAAATATTTAAAATTACATAAATAATTATCAAGATACATTAAACTTCTCCGATTCATTTATTAATCCTGCTTTTGTCCTCTTCCACTTCATGCGTCTATTTTGAAACCATACTTTTACCTAAAAAATCAAGAAAATTTTATAATTAAAATAAACATTTTGTGATTTATTAACATTTACAATATTTTTTATTATGATTTTGTATTGTATATAATTTATACAATGATAACAAATTATATCTTTTTTTTTTGTTAAAATTAGAAAAAAATGAATGGTTTAAAATAAATTTTATATTTATATTTTTTCATAAATGCTTTAATACATATGTACATCAAATTATTTTTGAACAATGTTAATATCCTAATATTTTTTTATATAAAATAAGGATTTAATATATACAAAGAAAAATTTTTTACTAAAAGAATAATACAATTATTATAATGCAACAAACAAGTGCATATTATTGTATTTAATACAAAGATAAGATAATTATATATCTTAAGTCATTTATTTTTGTTCACTTCATAATATTATTTTTTAAGTTGAATTAAAAAAAGAAAGGACTTGTTACGTATTCTTCATTATTATATTAAATAAATAATATTTTTATAGTAATTAACTATTTAAATTTCATTATTCTATTTATATTATTCAATTTGATTAATTTTATTAAAAATTACTATAAATTGTTTTGATCATAATTGTTTAAAAAAAATTTTTAAAATTGAAATTACTTTTTATATTTCTTTTTTTTTTCTTTTTTTCAAAAAAATTTTCTTTTCCTAATTTTTTCAACATTTGTGCGATTTTCTCACTTTGAAATATTTAGATATAAATTTATTTACGATATTTATTAAACAAATATCTTTTCTAAATATAAATTTACCTTTTTGCTTTCTTCTTTATCTTAAATTATTGAGAGAGAATACATTTTGAATAAATTTAAAAAATAGAAAAATTAAATACCAATGGCGCTATCTTGCGTTTGAATGCTGCGTTTGAAAACTTTGATTTATTACTAATACAACAAAATATAGAAAGAGGTATTTGTGACATCACACAAAGATATTGTGCGAGAAGATACAAATATATTATTATTTTTGATTATGTTCGCCATTACTTCAAAAATAGGATATTAAAAATTAATTAATATTTAATGTTTTTTAATTTTGTTTAAAAAGAATATCAAATTAAAATTTTTATGAGAAACTTCTTTGAAATCTCATCTTTAAGAAGTAAATTTAAAAATGCAAAAATTTTTAGTAAAACATTATTAATTAATTTTCAATATTGTGTTTTTAAAATGGTGAGGGCATAATCCCTTATATAATATTGTATTTTTTTTGTACTATGACGTCACGAATACCTCCTTGCATATTCTGCTATTCTAGTAACAAGTCGAAGCTTTCAGCGTTCAAACGCGAGATGGAGCCACGGATATATAAATTTTTTAATTTTTGTTCATTTAGCCTATAAGTAAAATATACTTTATGTTTCTATATGTTTCTATATGAAAATATATATTTTTATATTATTATATTATATTATATTTATT